ACACATAAACCCTTTGTAAAAAGGTTTTCCTGGACTAGTACTCTTCCATAGTATTCTTACTTACAACAGCTTTTGACTCACGGTCAAACGATTTTCTACTCGTTATTCTTCAATAATCCTGCTGATCAACCCTGTATTATATCAATAAAGCGGTAAATTTTACTCTTTGTCCTCACAACGTATATTCGACGTCTTCACAAGGTAAGCCTTCAATTAAATTTCTGCTTGATCCTAACTCAAGGCTAAACCTTCTAAATTTAAACGACTCGATAAAAGGAAAGAATTTTTTCACAACAAACGGAGTAAAATAGGAATATTAACCTTTACTTATAATGCCGCCTAATACGTAATGGAAATGAGCCTTAATCTTGTAATAATATTACTTTACAGATAAAATTCCATGGGATGGATAATTTGTGGCCAAGAAAAAAAAAGAAAAGAAAGCAAAGATAAAATGAAGCTAGCGAAAAAAACAAAAAAAGAAAATTAGAAAACGAAAAAAGGGAAAGCGATGAGAAAGTACAGATTCATTTTTTTTCTTTTTTTTTGTTCTCTTACAATACTTTCATTTTAAAGATAAGAATAAAAATAAATTTTTCTTTTAAATGGTTTAAAAATAAAAATATTATTGTTAAAATTTAATAGCAAAAAATTATGTTAACAAAAAGTAATTTTATCAAAAGTTTCTTATCAACAAAATGCTAAATAATAATTAAATTTGCTGTTAATGACAAAAAAAAAAATTGCTGTTTGTTCAGAAATTTTTAGAATATATAAAAGTTATGAATTTGATTTGTTGTTAATTAACTGTTAAATACAAACGTTGTAATGAATTAGCGAAAGGAATGAATTTTGATAACACAATTAACAATCCGAAGGAGGAAAAAATTAGATGGCATAGAAAGTTAAAAATCGGTAAAGCAAATTGTAAAGATTAAAATGTTAATTTTTATCATCGTTAAAGTTGAAAATTAATAGCTTAAATTAAAATTAATTTTAGGTTATGCTAATAGAATGCATGCAATTATAGCATTAAACAAAAATAAGTAAAATTTAAAATTAATTTCAAATTATAATAGCAATTGCATATCATTTGTTGCAAATATTTGCCATTCAAGATTAAATAAGAAAAAAAATTATGATTTAAGTCATGCTAATAATTGTAAACAATTTAAGCTATAGTAATGATTGAATTTTTAATTCGTTTAAATTAGTAACACAAAAAAATTAACAGATATTATCAAATATTTCGAATTTAAAGTTTGTCATTAAAAAACAAATATTGGGGGGAAAAAAAATATCTTTACTCTTTGCACAGAGTAGGAATCTTTTTTTTTTAAAAAAAAAAACTGAAGTCAAACTTTTTATATAAATTTCTTCGATAAAATTAAATTTTTTTAAGATTACAATTATAAAACATTCAATTAAAATGAAAAAATCAACACATTTTTGTTATAAAATTTATTATTTTATAATGAAATAGAAAAAATTTTCGAAAAAAAACTTTTTTTCGACTAAGAATTTACAAAAAGAAAAAATTTTTTAGAAATACAAGAAAAAAAAAATTACAACTACTATATCTATTTTGCCTACTGTTATCGGAAATAACTTAAGGAATGAATAACATATATATGAGCAATCATCATTATTTATGCCAATTAATTTAGTGTAAATATTTTTTTTTATTAAAGTAAAAAATTACTTTTTATTTTATAAAAAAAAAGAAAAACATGCATTGGTGAGATCAAATTTCTAATTTTGAAATAATAACTTTATTTTAACTTTATTTCATAAAATATCGAAATAATCGTAACTCTTATCAAATTTCATTACTACTAGTTAAACAGCAAATATTTAAATGGGCAAGCCATGCCATTAAATTTTATATCTTTCATCACATTGAAGTTCGTCCATCTTCTTCCTCTTCTATTGACTACAAAATCGAAATTTCAAGAACTCA